TGGGGGGGTGGTTTCTAGAGGTGCTTCAGGGTTTTTCAGAAATCCTCCTGACTCAGTGTTTTGGGGGAGTCTGCTGTGCTTCTGCTGTTGGATCAGCACAAATATTGAAGGTGTCAAACACTGGCTGCAGGCAGCAAAATCCTGTCTAACGTATCTTTTCCTTGGTGCTCATACCAGGCTGCCCTTGGAAAGGGGTAAGAAGCTGAGAGAGGTCCTCAGGGAGAAGGGTTTGCTGCACCACTTCTTCCAGCATCACCACTATGACATTGGCACCAAATTCCCACATGCTTTTCCCAATGGAACTGAAGTGGCCACCGAGCCCATGCTGAACACCCTCGACGTGAGTGTTAGCTTTGATCTCCAGCGGCGCAGCCCCAGGGTGGTTTGTGGGATGCCCATCCCTCTGTCTGTGCTGTGGATGGACCAAACCCAAACCCTTTTACCCCAAACAAAGCCTTCAGGGCACATTCTTTGCCCCTTTCTGTCCATGCTGGTGGCCCTGGACAGAGCCAGGACACTGAAATGTGCCCCCCAGCAGCTCTGCTAGAAGCAGAGTGTCCCCCCATGAAGAAGGAGACCACAAAGGCTGCAAGCCCAGGGAAGCTCCAGGTTTGGTTTCATGCCTTAAGAACATCTCTTGGTCCTGCTGCCCCCACAGATGGAGTACTACGGGACCATCTCCATTGGCACCCCACTGCAGAACTTCACCGTGGTCTTCGACACTGGCTCCTCCAACCTCTGGGTTCCCTCCATCTCCTGCACCAGCCTGGCTTGCCGTAAGTAGGGGCAGGCAGGTCTCCCCATTTTGGCAGAGCTGGCTCCAGCAGAATGTCCTGGGCTTGTAACTGCATGATCAAGCACAGAGATTAGGATGACATTGCCAGGAGACTGGGGGCCACCTAGACAGTGCAATGAGCAGACCCTGGGGGTGGGGGCTGTCCATAGCATCTGTGAAATGCACTGGAGAGATGAGTATTTGGGGTGTAGGACCTCCTCAGTGCTGTACTCCACAGGGTGATGTGCTTAGGGCTCAGTGCCTCAGTTTCTCCATCTGTCCAAAGGGCATGATGGGATTTCCTGTGGATCCCTGGTTGCCGGAGGAGGGGCAGGGATGTACAGCAAATGCTCACAGCTAAATTGTTCCTGAAAGCAGAATAATAAATGGTGGGTCTAAACAGCAATTCAGCAGGGTTCCTCCTCCCACACTTCCTGTATGGCTCAGCCTTGCTGAAAGTCTTCATTTCTGATTTTCCCACTTACCTTCTAGAAAGCCATCAGATGTTTAACCCGTCGCAGTCCTCCACCTACAAAAGCACAGGGCAGAACTTGTCTATTCAGTATGGCACTGGTGACATGGAGGGCATCGTGGGCTCTGACACTGTCACCGTGAGTGTCATGATGGCATTTCCAGTGAGGGTCCTTTGTGCCTTCTCCACCTGATTAACATCAATATTGCAGTGCCTGATCCAGATCTTACGGCACCCTCCCTGTCCCTAGGTTGCATCTCTGGTGGACACCAATCAGCTCTTCGGCTTAAGCACCACTGAGCCCGGCCAATTCTTTGTCCACGTCAAATTCGATGGGATCCTGGGCTTGGGCTACCCAAATCTGGCTGCTGATGGGATCACGCCGGTCTTCGATAACATGGTGAATGAGAGCTTGCTGGAGGAGAACCTCTTTTCAGTCTATCTGTCCCGGTAAGCCATGTGGGTCTCAAGGGCTGGGGAAGGCAGCAGATGCATCTCATGCACATCATTGCATTGTCTGGTGGCTCCAGCTCCTCTGCTGTCACTGCTGCCATCTGGCTGTTGTCTCTGTCATGATGTGCAAAGGCTGGGGGGTTCGTAGCAGGTGGCCATCAGACTCACTGGGGAGCTTATGACTTGCAGGGAAACCTTTCTAGTTTCCAGCCACATGCTTCCACCATGGCTCCCTTTTCCCCTTTTTCTGGGTCCAAAGACCTGGCACACACTGCTGTTGTACCACTGCCTCACTGATGCTCTGTAATGAGGAGAGCAGATGCGACCGTGGCATCACAAGCAGCATCTCGCCCCACGGGACATGCAGCCCTGCTGTTTTAAGCTACCTGCGCTGAAGCTACATGGCAAACCCTTCACTGTTTTTCTTTTCTGCATCATCCAGCGAGATGACAGGGAGCGTGGTCATCTTTGGGGGAATCGATGAATCTTATTTCACTGGCTCCATCAACTGGATCTCTGTCTCTTACCAAGGTTACTGGCAGATCTCCATGGACAGGTAATGAAACAGCTCTGCTGACCTATGTTCACTCCTAACCATTGTTTCTGAGGCCTGAGACCCATCAACATCAGATGCTTTCCACAGCTGTGGGATGCAGAAGGTCAAGAGGCCAAAATCCATAGTACTGTGGTAATTGCCACCCAAAATGGGCATGCCTTGTGCCTGAGACACAGCCCAATTCTTCTCTTACACAAAGCCTGTGCTCTTGGGGATACCTCTGGCAATGAGTAGAGCAAAACTATGGTCCAAAACCTACTTTTGTTGGGCTGGGTTGAGTCCCAGCTGCTGGGCTGTGTTTGGTGCCTCAGCCCCCATTTGTGCAACGGGGCTGCGACAGCAGCCAGTGTTGCAAATCCCAGGAAGCAAAAGGCTCAACGGCAGGGAAGCAGCAGCACTTTGCATACCCAGCTTTAATTCTTATAAAAGAAGTTTATAAAAGAATTCTTATAAAAGATCTGCTAAGATCCAACTGGTTATTTAATGGCCCTGTGCTTTTTCTGTCCCCCCAGCATCATTGTGAACAGCCAGGAGATAGCATGCAGTGGCGGGCGCGGCGTGGGGGGCTGCCAAGCCATCATCGACACTGGCACTTCTCTTGTGGCTGGGCCACCCTCTGGCATTAGTAACATCCACAGCGCAGTCGGGGCCAGGCATGACGTGTATGGAGAGGTAAGAGCATTCATGGCTTGCTCTGCTTGCCCTGGAGGCAGCCTGGCACTGCCGAGCCCAGGCCCAGAGCCTGCTTCCATGCACAGGGAAACCACGTCTCTGCTCATGACAAAGCAGCCCTGGTGCTCTGGTACCTCCAACAGAGATCACCATGAGACACTCCCAGTCTCTAGTTCATGCCAGTGAAATCAAAATCCTTCACTTTTTGCCCTGCGAACATGTTGCTTCTTACCTAAGAGCCTCTTTCCTCTGCCATCTGCAGTACAACGTGAACTGCAGCTTCATTTCTGCCATGCCTGATGTCATCTTTGTCATCGATGGGGTTCAGTATCCTGTGTCTGCCTTGGCTTACACTGAGCAGGTAAGGGGGAACCAGGTGGTCCTGGTTTCAGGAGCCTTTCTCAAGGTCCTTCTAGTTTCTCTAATGGTTCTGGTCACCTTGGCTTCTCCCATTCCCATGGGAGACAGGGGATGGATGGCCATGGGCCATCCAGAGCAACGCAAGAAAAGATACTAGCCCACATTTACCCCCATTTGTCTCTTCATGCTCAGAATGACCAAGGACCTTGCATCAGCAGCTTCCAGAACACCTCTGGGGACCTCTGGATCTTGGGAGATGTCTTCATCAGGGTGTACTACAGCATCTTTGACCGGGCCAACAACCGCATAGGACTGGCCAAGGCTATTTAGATCCACTGCAATGCCAGTGGTGCTGTAGTTTCAGCACACAGCCAAACCACAACCATGGTTTTGGTGTAGCAAGAGATCCCCAAGGAATCTCTCACTCACACACGAATAAAGTGTTGATGATTCAGAGTTGGTGGCTGCACATTTATTTATAATAAAATGGCAGGAATTAGGAAGGAGCTGTCATATACTTGCTGTTTGTGGTGGCTATGGAGCATTTGGTCAATGCAACAAGACTTGGGCCTTTGGGAGCTGCGGCTGTGGCCTGCAGGGGCTGAGGGGTGGTTCTCTAGAAAGTCAAGACTGGCTCTTGTCTTGGGGTTACATCAAGTGGGCAATTCTGGAACCCTCAAATTTCCATCCAGGGAGAATGAACTCACCATCCCAGACATAGCCTGTCTCAGAGCAGATCCCTGCTGACCCACAGTCATGTCCCACCAGAAGCTCATCCGTTAACACTCCATCCCTGGGCTCAAGGTTTGCCTCTGTGTCCCCTACATGGTCTCCAATAGCCCAATGACATCTCGAGGCAGTGACTCCCCCAGGCTGGTGTGGCTCAGCTGGAGATTTCCCTTGGGCCACTCAAGAGAGCAGGGCAGGAGACAGCTCTCAACCAATGCATGCCCTTCCATCATGAGGCTTTTTGGGAAGCACATCCACAACTGCACATGTGTAGAGGTCATGCCTTAATTCAGTTTCCGTACTTTAGCGCAATCCACTTAGTTGTTTCCCCATAAAGAATCTCAATTTAATGCCCTTTTCCCAATAATGAGCCAGCCTGTGCTCTGAGATGGTCAACAAGAGCCTGGAAACACCAGGTAGTCCTCAGTTACAGTCTTTACTACTGTGCAAACATCCATCAAAATCTAATGTGTTTATTTTATGATCATGGTCAGGACTGCTCCTTCTCCAATTTTGTTTCTTTTCTTTAAAGCAGCAGTTCCCATTTTTGAAAAGGAAATGACCTCCATCCATATAAAACCCTATTAAAAATGGAGGCTGCCTCTTTCCTCCTGAGCAGCTACAGTGAAAACACTCAGCAGGTGGCCAGGAGACAGATCCAAGAGTTCCTGCTGCTTCTTCATTTCTACTGTGCTCAGGGATAAGGGGTTATTTGCATTAATATTGATAAATGAGGCTCCATCACCAGTGGGCCTTGGAGATTCCTTTACCTGATGGGAACAGGGATGTGGAGGGAGAGATCCAGGTGATTGGGGTTGGAAATGAATTTTTGTGTCCTCTCACCATGCAAAATTTGCCTTCTCTTTGAGCTGACCACAAAGGAGTTTATGATGTGGGATGGTGGAAGTGTGATTTATCCCCCTCAGCTCCCTGAGCTCACACAGCCCATGGTCACCGAGCCCCAGCGGGTGGGAATCCCTTGTGCCCAAGAGGGATCTAATCCCAGATTTTGGGCAGATGGGGCTTTACCTTAGCTCCATCACAGGAATTTTCTCATTGTTATGAGCAACAAGAAATCAGCCCGATGCAGTGGGAACTGTGGCTCTGAGGATCTGCAACCCATGGACCAGCCCCTGCCAGCATGGACAAGACCCAGGAGGAACACCCAGGGGCTGTAGCTATGCTCCTGATGAGTGGGATGGGTGAGGAAAGCCGTGTCCTTGTCCTGAGCAGGACCAACAGCCCAAATGCTGTGCCAGGAGGCAGATCCTAAACCTTCCTGGCATGGATATTCAGCACCGGTGCCGAGAGTCCCCAGCAATGGGCTTCCTCCACCCAAGCATCCCCCCATGGCCAAAGCATCCCTTTCCACATCCACATTCACACATGCAATAAAGAAATAAACCAGCAAAAAGCTTCCAAGCATGAATTAGAGATGGGGGAAACACATGATGGTACTGTCTATGTCCAGGGAAATGCCTATCCTGGAGTGCCATCTTGTGGCTGCGGTGCCAAAACTGTACTCCTGTGCATCAGGGAAGCACAGAAATATCTGCCTGGTGTCAAAAGGATGTTCCAGGACTTGCTTGGAAATTTCAGCTCAAAGGAGGAGGCAGATGATTCTAGCTGACAAATATTTCACATGTGGCCACAGGTTCCAACTTGGTCTGGGGATAAAAAGCAGCCAAGACAGCTTTCTGATAAAGCAAAGAGGTTTCTTGTCTTCTTTTTAGCCTTTTCTGTGGCAGTACAAAATTTCAAGTGGGCATTCAGCCTGCATGCTAGAGGACATGACAGACTGGCTCATTAAGGCTTGACTCAAGAATGGTACAGTTGATAAGAGCCTTTTATGGATTTCACTGAGCTTTGAGCTTTAGGCTTGTATTTGGGAAAGTACTAAGTTGCAAATTGTACAGGAAAATGGGTTTTCTGGCAGGTTTTTATCAAGTACCAGCTGAGTGTTGACACTGGGTATTCATAGCCTGGTTTTCCTCCTCTTCCTTTTAGGATAAATTGGAAATAAGCTATTGTGTCTGGAGAGGTTTAATGCCTCTGACCCCATCCTCATAGCATAAATCAGGGAATCCCCTCGGACCTGACCTCCTGCAATGGACAGTGTAAGGCAAAGTGCTGGGGAAATCCCTGCAGAGTTTGTCCTCAGCTCACAGATCTGGAGATCTATAATGTCCCATGTCTCAACCTCCCCCACACAGTTCCCAGCTGGGGATCAGCTCCTGTAGAGCAGCACAAAGTCAAGAACAAAAAGTTGAGTCCAGATAAAAAATATTTTCTGCATGTAACGTTGAAGCATCTAGTCTTTTATTTGAGAATAAAGTTTACAAGTTAATAAGAATCAGGTTGTTCACCCTTCCATCCATCCATCCCTCCATCCATCCATCCATCCATCCACCCATCCCAGCACCATTTAGGTCCCTGTTTGCTAAGGGAGCAGGAGCAGAGAAGATGTGCCCATAGTGAGCAGGCTGAATAATTCCCAACCCAAACTTTTTCATCAGAGTTTCTTGTGGTGACTTCCCAAGGAATAAACACCAAAAGTGCTTCAGCTTTGACAGGTTGGGAGTGAAGTTTGGGGAGAGGAGCGTTAAAAAAATAAAAGAATATTAAAAGTTCATGCTTTCTAGAGGAAAAGGAGAAATAACCTGCTATGAAATAAAAATAGTGATGTGGCAGAGTGGCTGGGGGGAATGGAGGGGTGAATGGAGAGGAGCTGGGGATGTCTTAGGGTGCTGCTTTCCAGCTGTGCCCAGCTGTGCCTCCTCCAGCCATCCCCACAGATGATGAGAACTTGAACACAGTGGGAAGGAGACTAAATAGCTCTCACAGCTACTCCTCCTGTCTGGGATGATGATCTGGGGGTTATGAGGGATGGGGTGAGGAAGAAGATGGTGGAGGGATGGGGAAAAAAAAATGGAGAACAGCTGAAAAGGGGGATTTGTCCCAGAGGGGAAAACCTCTCCTGAAGGACTTGTGCTGGTTGTGTCCCAGATCGATCTCCCTGGAGTGCAGAAGACCTCATTGGAGAAAGACAGTCCACAAAAAGACCCCCAAAACCAAAATAACAACCCCTCAGGCCAGAGCCAGCACAAGCTCTGCAGCAGAGCTGGTGGGATGCAGGATTTCTGCCCCTGGGAAAATCCCAGCACACCCAAACTCACATTTTCCATCAGACCAGGAATAAAAAAAAAATAATCCATCTTTCACCGTTCCTTTCTGAATGAAATTGCAAACCAGAGATGCTGGCATGTTGCATAATGATCATGTCAAACCTTTAGGAGATGAGACATCAAGTATAACAGATGTGGGATATAAAAGCGGATGTGTAGACACTGCATGGGAAACTGTGATTTTAATGTAGGCAGAAACATCAAAAAAATCCAAGTGAAACAGTGAAGTTGGAACAAAATGTTTTTGTCGGAAGAAATCCTGCTGGCATTAGAGAGAACAGCAAAATGATCTGTTGCTGGTTTCTCCCATCAAAAGTGCCAACAGAAATGTACATGTTTTAGAAAACCAGACGTGCCTTTTTACAATGTGAAGCCGAGCCGTCAGGAAACTTCTCATTACTCTGTGCCCCATTTGCAGCAACAGAAGGGACAATAAAAGCTACAAGGTCACAGTGGCTTGTCCCCAAGGGTGTTTGCACACCAGATAACCCCTGAGTCAAGCATTTGCTGCAGGAGCAATCCCCTTCCCTCTCTCAGAGATGTTTTCCATCAGAAAACCAGTTTTGAGCCATGGTGCCCTGGACCTTTTTTGGTGGCCGTGCCACTGTGACAGGTCACCATCCCTCTTCTCCTAATCTTCCCACCCAATGGCTTGGTCCCATCCATTGCTGCCCACCCTGGTCTGCCAACAAAATTATTTAGTCAGGCAGAACAGGGAACTCGTCCAGCTAAAAATACAACATTTAAATTTATTTTTTTTTCCAGCTTATTTTTCAGTCCCAGATCTAGGAATTGGTGAGACCCCCAGGTCCTGAGTGGTGGGTGGGGAGGAACCATTTAAAATGGATTAAGAAAAACAGGGAGCCGGACCCATCTTCATCCCTGGACAGTTGGGTACCACTGAGCAAAGCATTTCATGTAATTTTGCACATTTTTTTCCCCTCTGGTAAATGAAGGAAACCTCTGTATGTGGGGAACTCTGCTCTGACACCATGGACAGAGAAGCTAAATGTCAAGCAGATGAGCATCAAATAATAAAAAGCAGACTGATGGGTAGGGAAGAGAGATAAGAAAGATGGTATTTATTTGAATAGCCACAGGAAATTAGAGATTGAAAAATGTCTAGAAAAACAAAAAGCTGCAGCACATTTAGTTTAAAAAAAAAAATCACAGCGTGCAGATGTTTTATACCTTATCCAGCCAATCCCACCTGAGAGTGCCCAGTCCTTGACCATCATTTTTTGGCCTTGTCTCGAGGGTAACCCCCATTGGTCTTATTGAGCGACTCCATGCTGCCGTTTCCCGTCACCACGCTGGTGAGTATTCGCTCCACCTCCCCAGGCAGAATTTGCTTCTCCTCATTCTCTGTCTCCCTGTGGTAGAAATAGTTGAAGTTCGAGACGATGACGGGAACGGGCAGTGCAATGGTCAATACCCCTGCAATGGCGCACAGAGTCCCCACGATCTTTCCACCCAAGGTGGTGGGACACATGTCTCCATAGCCAACGGTTGTCATCGTGACCACGGCCCACCAGAAGCCATCAGGGATGCTGGAGAAATGGGACTGCGGCTCATCCACTTCTGCAAAGTAGACGGCGCTGGAGAAGAGGATGACACCAATGAAGAGGAAGAAGATGAGCAAGCCCAGCTCCCGCATGCTGGCCTTGAGGGTCTGCCCCAGGATCTGCAGCCCCTTGGAGTGCCGGGAGAGCTTGAAGATGCGGAAGACTCTGACCAGTCGGATGATCCGCAGTATGGCCAAGGACATATTCTGCTGCCCGTTGAGTTCGCTCTGCTGGATCAGCTCGGTGGTGAGTGTCACAAAGTAGGGGATGATGGACACAATGTCAATAATGTTCATGATGTTCCTGAAGAACTCGGTCTTGCTGGGGCACACGATGAACCGGACAAACAGCTCAAAGGAGAACCAGATGATGCAAGCTGTCTCTATGACAAAGAAAGGGTCCGTGAAGGTGCTGTGGGCCAGCAAGGTGTCTGTCAGATTCTTAGAAAGCTCCTGGGTGGACTTAAACTCCCGTTCCTCCCTGAACTCTGGCAGGGTCTCCATGCAGAAGATGATGATAGAGATGACAATGACCAGGACGGAGACCAAAGCTACACCCCTGGCTGCACTGGAGCTTTCAGGGTACTCGAAGAGCAGCCAGAATTGCCTATGAAAGTCATTGGTTGGTAAGAGGGTCTCAGGGTCCTTAATGAACCCTTCATCCTCCCTGAACTGGTCCATGGCTTCATCACCCAGCTCGTAGAAGGTGATTTCATCAGCAAAAACGTCGATGGGGACATTGGCCGGGCGCCGTATTTTCCCACCGGACTGGTAATAGTACAGGATCCCATCAAAACTGGGTCTGTTCCTATCGAAGAAATATTCATTCCTCATGGAGTCAAAGTAACGCATCCTCTTTTCTGGGTCCCCAAGCAAGGTCTCAGGGAACTGGTTGAGGGTCTTGAGCCGCGTCTCAAACCTCAGCCCAGCGATGTTGATGATGACTCGTTGGTCCCCCTCATCCATGCCCACCCTCTCCCCCACCAGGTGCTCACTGAACTCGGCGGAGAACCTGGAGAAAATTGTCTCATTGTTGGTGTTTTCACTGTTGATGAGGATTCTCAAGTTGGAGAGGAGGTTGGTACAGCTGGGATGGCCTTTCCGCGACTGGCTGGCGGGGCTGAGGTCATTTGAATAACAGGGATCCTCCACGATCTGATCAGCGTTGTCAAAACTGACTAGTGCCACCTCCATCTCCTTCCAACTGGTCACGTCCATCATACACTAATCAGATTAGCAGCATAAATCCCCAGGTCGGATGCCGGCAGCTTGCGTCTTTCCCACGCTATGAGAATCTGCAAGTGAACGGACAGGGAGACAGAGCTGAATTGTGCATACGTATCGCTTAACTCAACTGAAGAGAATAAAACAAATCTGAGGTCAGAAAACGCTGTATTTTTTTCATGCAAACATTAATTTCATTGTCTGGCAAAAGCCTTATACTTCCAGCAAGTCGTTCATCTCTGGATTCTGCAAGCCCTTTTGGCATGGCTTCATTATCATCATTAAACCTCCCAACACCATTTGCAGCACCCAAGGATAAAAGGTCAGGCAGTAGCAGACGATGAAGGTGAACCCAGGTGTCCCACCCATCCTTTCCCCAGCGATCCCAGCCCTGCAGAGCAAGGGGTCATTTCAGAGATTTCCAGATGCGGGTCCAGAGTTTGGAGCAGGATTTGGAGGTATTAGACAAGGGTATCCTGGTTAGCAGCAGCCCTTGCTAAAGCTGGGAGAGGCATTGGGTCAAATCCCAGGAGGTCCTGGGCACATTGTAGCTGGTTCAACTGGTGTTTGGAAAGCAGTTCCCAAACTGGGGCCACACTGGGATTTGGGGAGTGCAGCCCAGGAGGAAGGCAGGTCAGGAGGAGAAGGACATGTCCACCAGCCTTGGAGAACTCCTTTGCTCTGCATGAAGAGGGGGACGAATTGGGACCCCTTGTCTTAATCCAGACTTTGGGGCAGGCAGTGGACAAGTTGACATCCTCAAGAGCTCTCCTAGGCTTCCTTCATGATGGACCTGATGTTCCCAGCCACAGGAAGAAGATGAGGACCAAACACTCAGGTCACTCAGAGAGGCTGGAGAGCATCTTTCAGGCCATGGGGTGGATTTTTTTCCCAGAGTGGCTCTGTCAGGTGCTCAGCAACAGACACCATGTCCCCAAAATAATCCTGGGTGCACATCTCCCCAACACGCTGTTGCTGTTGTACTGAACTCGGAGGCAAAGTCAAAGAGGAGCCCAGGGACCAGGCCAAGTTATGGAGCCAGGAAATTACCTGTCCTGCCTCAGGGAGAAGCACAAACAGATATTAGAGGTCAACAGGGAATGGTTCTGGGGAGATTTGCCCAAAAATGCATTTTCCAAGTAAATTCAACCCCCTGATTTATTTCCCCTCCAGCTCTTTCCCCTCACAGAAACATTTTCTGGACATGAGAAACCACAGAAGGACACACAGAGCTGCTCTGTGTGACCGCTAATCACCAAGGGCATGCTGGCTTTCTTACCCAGCCAAGTTCAGAGAGAGGGAGTGAAAATACCCAAATGCTCTCAACTGCCAAGAATAGCAATGCAATTTAGGCCACGTCTGCACGGAGCAGCAGTGGTGCTGGGGCTGGTCCTGCGATGGGGATGCTCTCCACCGCAAGCTTTGCTTTGTGGAACCAGATGCTGGGAAGGGATCCATCCTGTCCATGGGGACCAAGCTGCACCTCAACATCCCTATATAATTGGAGCCTTTTGGGCTCTGAAGTTCTTCCTCCCCTGTTCCCCAGAAGCCAGCTCATCCATCCATGCCGATGCACTACTGGTGAAGTTGGGTAGGGGCAGGACAAGCCAGAAATCAAAATCTGTTACAGAAGTAGATGTCAACATCCCCGCTTGCTACAAATCCTCCCTCTTCTGCTGTCAGCATTACAACCCTGAAAGTAAAAGTTCATACCCGAGCTAGCATCCATATCCCAGATGAGGGCTCAACCTCAGCAGTATCATGGAATTCTGGATCTGGGGACAAGTCCCACAACTTATCATTAACTTAAAAATCATGTTTCTTTGCTTAAAAAAAAAAAAAAAAAAAAAAAAAAAGGCAAGCCATGGAGTATGGCTGTTCTTTCATCCATCTCTGCTTCTGGCTGATTTTGTACCAATTTTCCCACTTGGGGACATGTAGAGAGGAGCATTCGGGGCAATGGGGTAGAAATGATTCCTGAAGGAAGCAGCACCAGCTCAGTTTTGTCCCCAAAAGCAACCTGCTGCAAAGCTGAGGAACCCCAATGACTCCAAACCCAAGTCCTCTCCAGCCCTAGTGACAGACACGTCCTGCTCTGGTATGCCCAAGGCACAGCAGCTCTCCGTGGGGCTGGATTCAGCTCAGGCTTGATGTTTCTTCCATTGAAAAGTTGTTGCAGGTAGAGCGAGATGTCACATCAGGGCAATGGGGGATGCAGAAAGTGCAACACAACCTCTGTGGGGAGGTGGCAACCAAGAGCTGCAGATAACCCACCCTTCAGTGCCCATGTAGCATCGGGAGGCAGGCAAAGGGATACTGCGATAAGCCCAGCCCAAACAAAGCTCTTTTAAATCTTCCAAGGGAAAAATAAACATTAAAGACAAAAGGAAAAGCAGCACATGTCTTTCCCTTTTCGTGTTCTTATCTTTTTCTTCATACAAAACACCAGGGATTATTTGTAAGTCAGAAAAAAAATAATTAAAATCAGTTTCAACCAGGAGAGTGAGAACGTTTAGTGTTCAGCTGGAGGGGTGAGCTGACCTGACCCACTACACACCCCATCACACCTTGGTCCTGGTGGGAGAGCCCAGAGGGGACCATGTGCCCGGGAGCCTCTCTAGACAGTGGACCAAACTTGGCGCAGCTACAGCTGACCATGCAAGTGCATCCTAAGTCAGTGCCGTGAGATGATCTGGGTATTTTAATCATTAAGTGTGCTTAACTCTTAATACTGCACGCTGGCACTGTGGGCAAGAAAATTCCCCAGCCCTTGCTTGGTAGGACAGCTTCAACCTGAGACGTTTGGTCACAGAAGAAATTGTGTTATCTTGAAACCTGGCTTTGCTCTGGAGCCTCCATGCACATCAAACGAAGTCTCCCCCGGCATCATCCTTCATGGGGAAACTGAGGCACAGAGATGTGTAGGGACAATTTGCACATCATAGTCATGATTGAGAGTGGAAAGTTGTGCTCATCCTCTCTGTTGGGACATGAAAAGGTGGTTTTTTAGCTCCATTTCAAGCCCTCAGGACAGCTGCTTAAGGGAGGCAGGGCTCTGACTTTCCTTTTCTTGCCTTCAAAGCCCCAAAACATGCTGGCATCTGCCCTGTGTCCATCACCAGAGATAGGTGCCCCACCTGTCCCCAAACCCCAGACCACCCACCTGTCTCGTTTTTAATTTCGACTGAAACTAATGGTGCTGCCCAAAGCCTCAAAGCACCCTCCCAAAGCGAGAAGGGAGCTGCTTGCTTTGCAGTGCCTGCTCCAGGCTCCAGTGGAGGCTTGAACTAGAAAGTTGCCTGATTTTTTCCTCCTAAATCACCTAACATCTGCTTCTCAGAATCTGATTAACTAATACCCTTCAGCTGAAATCCCTGGCTGGGGAAAATAATAAAAAAAAAAGTGAGCGAGCGAGAGAGAGATGGCAAAATAGAAAGGTCATTTTGAGGGAGAGAGTTTGTGTTTTGCCCGGTAAATCGGGGCTGTGGTATCCACCAGCCCCTCCGCAACCATAGAGACCTCCACATCTGCAATTCCCTTCTGCTTCCCGCCCATCGTCCTTTCATCCCCAGTGACCCCTCGCACTCCCAGGGTGAACAACGGCCGTTTCCAAGTTTTTTCCAGAAAATCAGAGATGCTGAGCCTCTCTCCCCCCATCCCCTCCCCACCACCCCTGTGCTGGGATGAGAAAGGAGGTGATTCCTCCTGTAGAACCCACCCCCCCCCAATACCGTCACCTACGGGGACTTACCCGCACAGGGCGTGGAAGTACCAACGCTCTCTGCATCTGGGAAGAGAGTTATTAAACACA